ATATTTTTTTTTAATCCACCATCAACAACGAAGGAAGTTAGCCAAGATGACTGAGAAACCCTTTACCACCACCATACATCGATTGGAATGGCTAACGTGAAGCAAACAACACCCAGTGCTGGTGAAGATGCAGAGCAACTGGAATTCCCACAGGCTGCTCGCGAGAACGTAAAACGCTATAACCGCCAAGGAATATGGTTTCCTTGTTTAAATTAAACATAAACATAGTATACAATCAAAAAAAATGTACTTCTAGATGAAGTCAAATCCTCTGTTCATAAAAGAAAAAAAGGGTATATGAACATTTATATCAGCTTCATTCATAGCTATAAAAAGCTACATGTCCCTGGGATAGAGAATGGACAAACAGTGATACACACACACCTTGAAAAAGTACTCAGCAATAAACAACACCTGCAACAAATGGCTGAATCACAAATGAGCTTTGCTAAGTGACAGAAAGCTAGATCAAAAGGCTAAATAGTAGGTGATTGCATTCATTCATACCACATTCTGGAAAATGCAAAACAAATTGGTGGTTGTAGGGTACTGAGGGTGGGGAAGATCTGACTTTAAAGAAATAGCATAAGGGACTATTGAGGGAGGAATGTTGTAAATATTACGTATTCTAATTGTGGCGATGGCTATATTACTCTGCATTTACCAAAACTTTGCAAAAGTAAATTTTACTATATGTAAATTAAACTACGTTTTTAAATAAAAGTAAGCATAAGGAAAAGCTTCACATTTTCTAAATGTTATAGACTATTTCACAGGGTAGCATCTACAAATAAGATAATGTAACTGAGTATGTAAACCACAAAATAGGCCATAATTTTTCAATATATATGGCATAAAACCATGGTTATTAAAAGCATAAGTGGTTGGCCCAGATGCTGTTTACCACCCCTGAATGGATATAAAATGTTAATAGATTATTATACCTTTCATAAATAAAGTGCCAAGTTACCTTTCTGGGAGAAGCTATCAAACTTTGCACTTTGACTTCCTGTTACGTTCACTTTGGAACGAAAGCCTCCATGAGCCACCCCAACGGAGCTATTTCCTATGATAAACACTATCTGCTAACAAGAGGCAAAGATGTGGCCTGGGAAGATAGCTGCGGTGACTTTACTGCACTCTCTGAAACACTCTGACACACTCTTCTAGAAAAAAAAATAGCATTTTTAATAGCAACCAGAAATCAAGCTCAAAATTCCATTTCCTAAAAAAGGTCATTAGAAAAACAGATGCAATTTAATTCACCAAACATGTATTAAGTAATGCTAGGCACTTGGTAAACAGAGTTGAAAAAGAACACAGTTATGTACTTTTAAAGAATGCACAGACGAGCAGAGGAAGGAGACATGAACAAAGACACTTGCACACAATAATTTAAGTGGAATCATAGAAGTGTTCTCAGGGTACAGGGATGAGCAGAGGGGAACAGTTTCAGTCTGAATATCTAACAAAAATGGATCACTGGAGCCAAGGACCCCCTAAAATCTGCCCTCAGGGATGACTAACGCTAACAGGGACAAATAGAATCTGCATGGTTTGAAAAGTCCATTCATTGATACTTACTGCCACCTCCATTACAGTTGTGATTGAAATTTCTTTTTGAGGGCCAAAAATTTTAAAGTTAAGCTTCTTCTAACACCACTTCTTCAAAATAGACTCGCCCAGGCCGTGGTATTTTGTGGAAGAGCCACACTCAAGGGGCCAAAGAGCCGCATGTGGCTTGTGAGCCACAGTTTGCTGACCACGGGCCTAGGGTGAGGCCTGGAAAAATATAAATAAAAGGTTCCCAAAGTATTCCACTATGTAGCTGGGGTGACAACCATTGGATTACAGTATTAGAGAGAACTCGCTAAACTTTCACTCGGTGCAACATTTAGCAATGTGCCTAAAAATACCATTGCTTCACCCTATTATGCAAGTTGCATAAACTGAAAGAATGCTAGTAATTCAAAAGCTTAACATTTACCTGTAATGCCTCACTTAATAAGCAAATCATCTTTATCAACAACTGAGAACTGTTCTAAGAAGCTAAGAAATAAGCCATACACATTAAATGACTAAAGTCAATTAAGATGAGCCACGTATAAAAAGACCTAAGTGATAGGATAAACTACATTGCTTCAGGTCAGACAACATGCTTTTTTTAATAGTATTTCCAGGATCAAGTACACTGCATGGAACTCAATAAATATTTGTTAAATGGATGAATAAGATAAATGATTTCTACAAGAATTTACCACCAGTGCCATTGTCAAAGACTGGAATACAGGGGAAGATATTTTTATTGGAAAAATGACTCTCAGGCACCTGCCCAAAACAAAACTACTATCATGAAGAAACCTGAACTTAGCTTTGAAGGGTAAATCAAGCAGCTCTCGGCATTTCCAGTTAAATCTTTTGACTAGTAGACCACCTTATCGCATTCTTGGCTCCAGTCCTCACTGCCCTCCAAACCTGTTACAATAACAATCAGCAGGAGGCTAGCTTTCCTGAGCAAATTTCACCATCATTAGAAGGATTATAAAAGTCTTACTTTCAAAGCATTATGTACCTGCTTAAAAAGTAACACTAGTAAATGTACAAAATAAACCAACATAGAAAAAGGACATGAATTCAGCCAACTAGACTGACCAGGGAGATGAATGAACCTACTGCCTTCATACCGTTTCACATTCTCCCACATTCAACTACCTCCTAGATGGTTGCTACAGAACTTAGATTAAAGGAAATTGATTGCTGAGTTTATTATTTTTAGCATCCTTTTACTGAGCACCCAGCAACTAAAGTGATAAGTACCAGTACCTTCAAACTTGCAAGGATAAATACTGCAACTATCTAGACTGAATTACCCATTTGTATGTTTGGAGCTTGAATTATTCATTTACATTTTTTAAACGGGAGAATAAACAAAACTACACAAAGAAAGAAGATAGTTGAAAAATCTTACTGCTATAGATTTAAAAGCTTAATGTAGTAAGAAGCCAAAAGATCTCTTCAGAAATAAACAATACATTTATTAAACAACCTAATTAATATTCACCAACTATGCTACTTATGAAACAAAACAATACATCTAAAAAATGCAACTGCATGCAAGCAAAAAAAAAAAGCATATTAATAAGTGAAAAATCTTATAAGATTAAGTTAGGAAAAGTATTTATAGAAAAAATATCACTTTCTCTTCAAACTTGCATTTAAATATTAAGAATAATGGGTGGATCCCTTTTAATTACTAATTTTAATGTTAATCAAATGTTTAAATTAGGGCAACAATGTGAGATTTCTGAGACTGCTGTCCATAACCTATGTCAATAGTAATAGAAGATACCAAATTCTTATTTGAAAAGGAATGGTAATTTTCCTCTACCTATGTGTGAATGATTATGCAAACCCATGCAAATTCTAGACCCATACACTTAATAATTTAATGAACTAAATTCGAAATTAAAAATCCAGTTATTCTCCAAATGATGTCTTCAGGCTAACATTGATTCATTTATTCCTGCTTCCTTATTAACAATAACATACACCAGCTTGTCAATGATTATCAAATTAGGGCATGACACTTGGATGTAAGAAGAACATAGAACTACTTGCATTTATTTTTTATCAAAAACTAGAAAGAAATGAAGCTTTACTGATATTTAACAGAGATTACACTGGGGCCTTTTCTGTCTCTATGTCAACTATAAACAAGACAAGCAGATTACATGAGCTATGTAGAAGGAAAAGAGTTGATGGTGAGGTCCTCATTCATCTCCCGGCTCTCAGCACATTGCAAAGGATGTAAATTTACCAGTTATATTACCTAGTTTTATTTAAACTAACCTTACAAAATAAAACAGTGTGTGTGTGGGGGGGGGGGGGGATCTTACCGATAAACACTAAGATGACAATTATCCGAATAATACAGACACAAAGAAATGCTGTCACCTCTACTCCTGTGGTGAGTTCATCCTCCATAATATAATTGTTCCTGACAAAAATAATTTTAATATTACTAAAATGTAGACTTTAGTCCACCTCATTAATGGAAAAGGTCACCTTGAGTACGTAGAGTGACTGAAGATATTTTGTAATGATAGCACAAAGCTACGGTGATTAGCAAACATTCTTAAATGTTGCGTATTTTATCTTTATCCTATTCTTCATTATTCTTCACACGTGCTGTACCGCGTCCATTTCTATATTGGTTCAGTACTTTGTGTATATAATTCACAATGAAAGGGGTTCCCAGACCATCTTTTCCAGGTCACACTGCCCTCTCTCAGCCTCCACATCATGATCTGTAGGAGTTAGAGAACCCTGAGGCTCTATATGCCCCCTCCCCCACAACATTCACAGCTTTCTGACTTTGGAGGCTATCAGGAATAATTCTATCTTCCCTAGCTGGTTTGACTTCATGTAACAAGTGTCGGTCTGCAGACTGAAGGGTCCTATATTCAATTCTGGTCAAGGGCACATCCCAGGTTGCAGGAGGCAACTGGTCAATGAATCTCTCTCATCCTTGATGTTTCTCTCTCTCCTTCTCTCTTCCTCTCTAAAATCAATGAAAATATAAAAAAGAAGAAGACGAAGAAGACAAAGAAGAAGAAGAGGAGGAGGAGGAGGAGGAGGAGGAGGAGGAGGAGCAGGAAGAATTCCATCAACTTCTCTGTCACCAGAGGGAACTCAAACTTTCAGGGTTGTCCTTCACTACTATATCTCCTTAATCTCATCCTATTTTCTTATCTCCAACCCACGTTCAGAACCATTATACTAGGATTTCTGGAGATGATAAAATCCCTCATATGTTCCATCTGTTCCTGAATATTGGTACCTCCTTTTTGGTATCATTAAAATGCAACTTGAATAAGAAGTGATGTCAGCAAACTGGCTACAAAGGTATTTCTGACACCCATAACTTGCCAGAAACATCAATTTGAACTTTCGCTGGAAGACAATAGTGCACTAGAATACAGTTCATTTGAAATACAAAGTTTCAAAGACAGAAGAAAACTCCCGTGCTCTGAGCACTGGGGAGAAAAGGTTTGGTTATAAAGGTTCCTACTTTCTCAGAATTATTCCGGGATTTATGTGCCAGGGTGGTGACTTTGCACACCATAATGGCACCGGCGGCAAGTCCATCTATGGGGACAAATTTGAGGATGAGAACATCGTCCTGAAACATACAGGTCCTGGTATCCTGTCCATGGCAAATGCTGGACCTAACACAAACAGTCCCCAGTTTCTCACCTGTGCTGCCAAGACTGCGAGGTGGGATGGCAAGCATGTGGTCTTTGGCCAGGTGACAGAAGGCATGGAGCGTGTGACAGCCATGGAGCGCTTTGGGTCCAGGGATGGCAAGAGCAGCAAGATGATCACCATTGCTGACTTGGACAACTCTAATAAATTTGACTGGTGTGTTATCTTAACCACCAGACCATTCCTTCCGTAGCTCAGGAACACCCCTTCATCCCAAAGTGCTTGGAATGTTCCATAATCTTTGCGGTCTTGCCAGTTTATTGGGTTCCATTATTTCCTTACCGCCTCTCAGTCTAGCTGGATTGCAGAGTTTAATTTATGACTATGAAATAAAAAACTAAACAGTTAAAAAAAACTGTCTAAAGCCCAAGACAGAATTTTTAAAGTAGCAAGAGAAAAAAGAAACTCCACATATATAAGGAAACCCCCATAATGATATCAACAGATATTTATTTATTTTTTTAGCATAAAACTTGCAGGCCAGGAGTGAATGGTATGATATAAAAGAATAAACATACCAACCAAGAATACTTTACCTAGCAGTTCTGTCTTTTAAAAACAGAAAAATAAAGACTTTAAAATATAAACATTTTCCCAAAGAAAAACTGCTTATCCATCAGCTAAACCTTAAAAGGTATTAAGGTTTCTATTGCCATCTAATGAATAGAGGCCAGGATTGGTGCTAAATCTTACAATGCAGAGAACAGACCTCACACAATAAAAAATAAAAAAATAAAAAAAAATGTCTAACAAAATATCAATAATGCTGTGGTTGAGAAATCCTGTACTAATAAGAATAATACTCCTCTGCCTCAATGACTATTATATGTTAACTAGGAATGCTTTTTTGAATAACAAAACCTGAAAAAAAGTGGTAGTTTATTTTCCTGAAATCAAATTCAAAGGGATGGCTGCTCACAGTAGAACAGCACAAAGAGCCATAGCAGTCGGACAACTGCTACAGGAGTAGGCATTAACACTATGTACAAGGAAGAACGTAGAAATACAGGAGAAAGCATTAACACTAACTACATCTGTGTCTTTTATCAGAAAAGCAAAACCTAACATCTCAGTGGACAGATCTATCTTTAAGGGGCTCTGTAGATAATTTAAAAGGTGGTACTTGCTTCTATAATTGACACACTGATCACATTCTGCTTTACAATGTGCTATGGTTAGATACTAATTTAGGAAATAAAACAAAAGTAATTGGTAGGCCAACTACCTCCTCTTTCATCATAGAGTGAGAGACAAACTAAAAAGCTATTGATTAGCGACGAACATAGTGAAAAATCTTGGATACTTTTCAGGGAACATTTGGGAAAGCAGCTTAATTACAGAGAACAAGCTCGGATGTTGGCAAGAAAAGTCATTCTTGACTAACTGGCTGGGGTCCTTCAGTGATATTACAGTCTTGAAAAGGAAATTCAATACATGTCAAAGCTCAGAGATGACGTTAGAGCCCAGAGGTATGATGGTTTTTGGATCTCTACGAAGCCATCCCAGCTGGTGGTATAAATTCAAGACTCTTTGACTTACAGTTAAAATGAAAGAGGCGAGTTTGCAATCCAGTGCATAGATAATACACTCCTCTCCCCCTGGGGAAGTACATGTTCAAACCAGTCTAACATACTTGAATTTAGATCTCTGCTTGGTAATTAAATATGGACCCTGTTGAACTTTATATAAGTCCCAGTATATGCAATCTATACATAAAAGGCTAAGTGACCAACCAACCATCCAACTGACTGGTCAGTACATATGACACACACTGTCAATTTAAAAATAAAAGTTGACTCACGCATGCACAATACATATAGAGCACCAATTGCACACGTGTGTTTCGATCTGTCATTGTCGATTGTGAATTTGGTTGTTTTTGTTGACATTCAATGTAAACCACATCATGATTTATTCATCGACCAACCAGCCGATACACATGACATGCACTAGCAATTTAAAAGTAAATATTGACTCGCGCATGCATGATACATATAAAGCTCTCACTGGCACCAATTGCACACATTTTAATTTTATAATTCTATATTATATATACTATTTTGACATGTAATTTTTGCAGTAATTTAATTAACACATGAATCTTTCTTCTAATTAATTTCCTTTCAATGTGCACGAATCCATACACTGGGCCACTAGTATATTCAAATTTCCAAATGGACCTGAAAAGATTTAACTTCTGAGATTTCTGCTAAAAAGGAAAACAAATGAACTAGAAAGTAAAAGGTGTGTGCAACATCAAGTAGGGAGAGGAAGGAAGGTATCTACTCAGGAGATCATGAGAAGCCAGCAGGATGGACACAGAATAGATGAGTTGGGACTAATTGAAGTCTCCAGGTTTGTTTGCTGTTGTTTTTTTCATTTATCACAGCGAGAGGTAAATGCTATAGTTAAAGTAATTTCATACTGTAAATAAGAATTTCTCAACTTAATACTTTCCAAATAAAATTCTGATTAGACTAACACTCAGTAAACTCATTAAAAGTGTAGATTCTAGAAATTCCAGATAAACAGTTTTCAAACTTTTTGAGGGTTGGTGAAATATGAGGTTCAAATTTGGGATTCAAATAGCAAGAAACCCAGTATCTCAACCAAGTAAGTCAGAATCTTTTTTACTAGGGAAGTGTCTTGCCTTCAACGCAACATCTATGAAGTGTAATAAAACAAGGTGTGTATTTCATAGATCATTTTATGCTCTTTAAAGTTTACTTAGTTACCATCATAGTAAGTAGGATAAAGGGGCAATTTATTTGGGGGATTTAGGGCTACGAATAAGTAACTGAGCAATTATGACATGCATGTCAGCTAATGGGCACCTGATGAATTTCTGTAGCCATTCATCATTACTCCTTTGTCATTTGCCCACAATGGTCAATGTCGAGTTTCTTTGCTCTACATATGCTAACTACACATCAACCATTTAAAAGACACCTAAAAATGTATGTCTAGGGTTCCCAAATATAAGATTTGACCTTTTTGCCAAAACCGGTTTGGCTCAGTGGTAGAGTGTTGGTCTGCGGACTGAAGGGTCCCAGGTTCGATTCTGGTCAAGGGCATGTACATTGGTTGTGGGCACATCCCCGGTAGGGGATGTGCAGGGGGCAGCTGGTCGATGTTTCTCTCTCATCGACGTTTCTGACTCTCTATCTCTCTCTGTAAAATATCAATTAAAAATAAATAAATAAATAAATAAATAAATAAATAAATAAATAAAAGATTTGACCTTTTGTGAGCAGCACTCACCACATACACCATACATAAAATATTTTTCAAGTATGTTTATAATTACAGTATAATGAAATATTATTATGAATTCACTATCAGCATAATCCTGTTCTAATATTTTTAACCATCATTCAAAGGCCATTTTTATAATTAAAAGAATGTAAGGTAGGAGTCAGAACCACCTGTGTTTTAGTCCTAGTTGGGCAAGTCACTTAAAGCCTATCCATAAGCCTGATTCATCCTATGAAATATGCAGAGGCTTTTACCCACCTGTCTAATTCACTGGGCAGCTACTGATAATTACATGCTATGATCCTCATGGACGTGTTTAAAAATTGAAAGGCATTATACAAAAAAAAAAGGATTACTTATAAATAGAAATAACAATATAGCAAGTAAGGAAAAAAAAAACTGTTAGAAATCATCACAGGAACAGGATGGACAGCAAAATGTTCCTTTTCCCAAAGGCAAAGCAGGCAACAGTTCACATTTTAAAGGCTCTTAGTCACTTTATTTTTTTTTAAACAAGGTCAATATGTGACAGATCCAAGTTTAATACAAGTCACTTGATTAAAGTAAGAAACCCAGGACTTTAGAGAACAATAAATCCTCAGTGGAGCACAAAATTAATCTGGGGAGCATACAGAACACTAAACACAGGCAATATGGCTACTATCAAATGAACCCCAATTTGCAGACAAGGTATCACTGTTTTGTGTTGTGCTGAAGATGAAGTAGTAGAAATCTGAGAGGCCTTAAGAACCAATTTCTAGATTATATTTGTACTCAAAATGGACCAGATAAAGTCTTGTATATAAAAAAAAAAAAAAATCTGAAGTACAATGGGAACAATATGAAATCTTTCAACCTACTTAGAAAATCTGAAAAGAAAGAACCTATCTGGAGCCTCTGAAAGAAGAATGAAAAAGAAAGTAAAGTAGAAACATTTGACAAAAGATGATTTAATCAACAAAAGAATTTGCCTAGGGATTAACTAGAGTGTGAGAGGCGGGACTGCAAAGGTGGCCCTTTTGATGGGCTGTTGAAGCTAATTCAACAGATTTTCATTAAGTTAGTCCCCAGAACACTGCATGTGATGGGTGAGAGGAATATATGTTATGACCTCTGCCAGGCTCATAGAATACTAAAAGACCAGTTTTCTGTAACTCGGGGAAAGTTTGATATACTTAAGTTTCTAAATGAGTGGTATATAGTTATTACTACAGATGTTTCAACATTTGCTAATGAATGCCAAGGGCAATTAGGAAGATGAAGGTATTTTGTAATACATAAGAAAGACTTCATGAGTAATGAGAGCCAGAAACTGGTTTTAGAGAAGTGCTATGATTTGGGTAGGTGGGCAAGCAACTACTGTAACAAGAGCCAATTACTTAATTTTCCATCTTAAAGGGAAATGTTTTAAGGGGCTGCTTCGCTGAAACCGGTTTGGCTCAGTGGACAGAGCATCAGCCTGCAGACTGAAAGGTCCCAGGTTTGATTCTGATTAAGGGCATGTACCTGGGTTACGGGCACATCCCCAGTAAGAGGTGTGCAAGAGGCAGCTGATCAATGTGTCTCTCTCATTGACGTTTCTATCTCTCTCTCCCTCTCCTTCCCTCTCTGTAAAAAAATCAATAAAATATATTTTAAAATTAAAATTAAAAAAATAAGGGGCTGCTTCATGTTCATCTTTCTTTTTCGCTTTTCACTTTTTAGATAGTCAAGTGCATTAGCAGAGGTCACTAAGAGGAATCATGCCAAAAACTAGAGATTTTTATTGAATCCTAAAACCTTGAATAAATCAATTAACTGACATCAAGCCCCCACTGCCATAGTTCCAAGGAATTTCTCTCCTCTGTTTGACCACCTCCCAGGGCTCATAGTTTCATGAAGCAATTAGTTCTCCTGTTTCATACTATGTTACAGATATAAATTGGAGATCTCTAAAATATTGTAAGTATACGGAC